ATGAGATGTATTGGATTTAAATATTGACTCTTAAAAATGATATTCTCCTATTAATACCAAATAATGTTCATTTATTTAAAGACAAGAGTGGATGAGATACTCTCATGTGATATTAATACTACAGGAAAAGTGTGACTGACAACAGAATCCCCATCTGCTGTATCAATCTGCCAACCCTGATACACATATTGACAGCTATTTACAGAGACCAAGAAACCTAGTGATTGAGTGAATGCGTAATATATTCTGTTGGCCCATTTCCTTAACAGAAAAATTAGAGATTTGGCAGACTTAGATAACACTGGAAGCACAAGATTGAGCACCATATGTGTATGAAGCAATGTCACACGGTCACATTCCTAATTTGTTCACTTTTTGAGCTAAAACACAAATCACCTATGTGTAAATTAACACTGAGAATAAAAGTGTGAGGTGTGGTAAATTGACTTGGTAACCAGTTAAAGGAGGCTGGGAAAATTTAGGAAAATGTATGCATATAAAAATGCCATCAATTTGAAGCCAATATATACCTTCGAGACCTCTATTAATCCCTAATACAAGAATCTCAGGAATATTTGAAAAACAGCTCCAGATATATTTATATAATCTTTTCATATTGAAGTAATGATACTTCTTTTATTAGCACTGTAGTTATAGTTTTCATGGATTCAAATCTCTATGTATTAAAATGAAAGGCTCTTTTAGAAGTGGGTAATTATCACTTGAGTAAATAATGCTGAGAACACTGGATTCCAGCATCTTTTTCAGGTTTTTCTTACATTTTATCTTGAGTATTCTTTTGTCTCCTTTGGTCTCATTGTTCCCTGATTTTCACATTTTCCATGTATCTGAATTTTTTATTCTCATTTCTTTTCTTTTATTGGTTTTCTTTCCCTGGTGTTGCTTTGTAAGAAATACTTAGAGTATTCTGTGTAGGTTTAGTGCGCCTCAAGCTCCTGACATTACCAATATCCTGACATGCTTAGGATACTTAGACACCATGAATTGTTACCTTAGGCAATCATTCCTAAAAACCCCTAATCCCTGAAAAGCTGTATCATTACTTTCAATTGAATATATTAGTTTCAAAGAGAAAAATCATAAAAATGGAAACATTAGCAAAATACAGATTTTTAAAAAATTGTAGGTACATAATGACCATTAGTCATTAAATTTTAACAAATTTTGTCTTTGATTTCTCTTGGGATAATGGATACAAATATAAAATCAACAGGTTATTTATTCTAATAAACATGCCATGCATTTTGTGTGCTTAGATCTTTTTTAAATTCTCTACACTGAAATATAATTGAGATTGTTGTGTAGGAAGATTTAAAAACCTTGTCAAGTGTAGAGGAATAAACTAAATACTCTGAAGGATAACACTCCTGGGCTTAATAATGTATAAACTAGGTCTTTAATGACCATGCTTACTATATAATGAGCTTGTGAAAAGTGAACACAATTTAATTATTGGTTCTCTTGATGACATGGTGATAACAAATGAGAAAGCAGTTATTCAAATATAGAAATTTTACTTGAAGAAGGTTTCACATATCCCTAGGATATTTTATCTTTGTGTTTTTTTTGTATTACAGGTTTGTATTTAAATGTTAAAATATACAAGGTTACAACATATGTGCAAAGTATGCATTGTAAAAATAAGAATAGATACATTTAATATAGTCAATAAGCCTAAATACATTATACAATGTTAAGCATGATTGATTTTTATATCTCAGATGATAATATGGCCTTGGATTTGCATAGTTTCTTTCTTGCAAAAGTCACAAAGCATTTTCACATCAGCCACAGCCAGATGAGGTACAGAGGTACAGCAGTTAACTTCACTTTACAGAAGAAGAAATAAGGAATTTAGAAAGGTTAAATGACTTGTTTGAAGTGACAAAACAAAGCAGAGCTGGAACCCAGGATGTAAATCCTGATGAGACTGATTTTTTTCCCCTCTTCCTCATCTAATACTCATAACATAACCACCTTGAAGTGTACAGTTAATGATAAAGGGATTGATTTTGCATGTATATGACTAAAAGACTACTTTAGAGTGTGAATGATTTCTCACTTTAGCCTATCATGCATTCTGGATATTATTTGCATCCTTCATGCTGTAGTTTTGCTATTTTGTTTCTGTTTTGTGTTTCTTACAGTGGTACATCTTAAGTCAATGGATTTCATATAGTTTAGAGCTACACAAGATTGTCATTTACCCACTTGTTTCATGATTATAACTTTCCAGCAATCGCTAGAACACAGTAGTTATTTTCTTTTTCCTATTTCCTTGGTTTAACTTGAAAGAGGTCATCCTTTCCTGATAGGTTATTGAGTTATCCCCACTTCTTTCCATTATTTACATTTGCTCATTTTCTAACCCTTGCCTTATATGTTGTCTCTTCCATGAAGTGTCCCTTCACAATCTGCCCATCAGTCTGAGTCACATGTATGGTCTTCTCTGTGTTTCCATAGAATAGGTACAGTGTGTTGTATCATAATAGTTCCTTTACTTACCTATGTCACTCTAGAGCAGAATATGAACTCGTTCACAGAAACAACTACATTTTATTAATACCTGTACCCCAAGCACCATATATACTGCATATACACATGCTCAGTAATGCTTTTTGAATGGATGCCCAAGTGAGTGTATGATGAATTTTCCTTCACAGCATCAACCACATTTCTACTTGTTCAGTATCTTTCTTTAATAAGCTGTAAACTCAGAAAAGCAGGATTATATCTATTTTGTTCATCATCTTTATCTCAGCACCTTGTTACATCATAAGCTCTCAATAAATGTGGAATAAGTGACTGAACAAATGCATGTTAATCCCTCACACTTGTGCAGCACAGCAAATTGAAATGCAGTGACAGCAGTTATAAAAGCTTGTGTTACCAGATATCATTATGGGTGAGCTTATCCTCCAAAAGAAAGTATGGCATATCACTGATTTACTGGTACAGAGTCATTATTTAGGTAGCACCACAGTAATTATATCCTTTTCTGTAGATGCACTTATCTGGTTTTAAACATCAAGGATTCGAAAATATTGCCTGTTAGCTTACAGAAAACTCTGACTCATAGTTATGGACATGAAAGAAATTTAAAATATTTTACAGTAATGAGAGCCTTCAAAGTAGGACCACCTAGAAGCAACTCTTTTATCATAACCTCTATCATAGATCTAAGTGTATATTGCTATGTTCTTTTTCTAAAGTTTTGCTTTCAAATAAATAGTAATTCATACTACTGTGTAGGGCAGTAAAGATACAAAATATTTCTACTCCCAAGAACATTTATTTTAATAAAGAACAGTACCTACTACTCAAAAGCATTCATTTTCCAAATTTGGAATATCTGGTGGTTGTGATATGTGGTGATTACTTGAGGTTGACATTATTTATTAGTTAGCAGTGATTTGTTTATTGTTTGTAGAGTTTGTGGTAGATTTCAATGTCCACAAATATCGCTTAGTCTTAGTGTTTTTTGTTTGTTTTTTATCACTAACATGCTTTCAGTTACTATCATGGGATGCAGTTTGGCCTTCTGGGCCCCAAATTGAAATGCAAACATCTAAAAAAATAAACATTAAAAAAAACAATCAAAGGAAAACAAAGTACAAGAGGAATCCCAGGACAGGAGAAATAAAAGGGTTAGACAGCAGTGAAACCAAAATTGTAGTCAAAATGCAGCTTAAAAGGGTAATCCTATATTAGCCAACATTTCTTAGGTTTAGTTCACAGAGTACTTGCTTTAGATTTGACATAGAATTCCTCTATGCATTTAGTAAGAACAAAGGAATGACCTACACTTGCAACCACCTTAATAGCTAGAAATACTACTGACAATGATATTGATAATGCTTCAAAGCATTATCCTGTTCTTTAATAAGCTGGATCTGAGACTAGCAACATCCCAAAGGATGCGCTGGTGCATTCAAGTAGCTGACTATCACTCTTCTCTGATGTTTTATCACAAGGGTTCTTAATGGAATAAGGAAGAAATTGTTTTTTCAAATTTAAATTATGTAGGAAAGAGATGCTCTCCTGAAAATTATTATTGGCCAATGACAAAGACTGTTCAAGAACACAGTTTTCTCAAATTGTAAAATTTTCACAAAACAAAGTTCATAGAAATCTGAGCACCTATCAGTTTCATGCCATGACATTGTAATTGAAGAGATTCTGCTTCAGAGAAAACATATGAAATTTGGGTGATACAGAAATCACAGTGAGTCTTAGTCAAAACTCTGGCTTCCTGACTTCCTTTTCAGTATCATTTTCACAGTGCTACATTCAACAATTACATATGAGTGGGTAAAGGATTGAATTTAGGCAACCTATTAAGGATACATGACAGTGTCGTTGAAGAAAATCCCCCCCTTTTTTTACACCACATCAGCATGAGGTGTTTTTTAGAATATTTATATTGTGCAATGCCAAACATGAGCTGTTAGTACCTAGTCAAAATGATTTTTGTTTAGGGATAGAAACTGACCACTGTGTTATATATATATGTGTATATTGATATGTAAAACCTAATTATTGTTATATGTCTTTCAGAAGCTATTTCTATGAGAATATTTAATAAATTAGTACATACTTCCTTAAAAATCCAATCTCTTATGAAAGAGGTAATACCTAATGGTCTCATGTCTAGAGCAAGATAATAGTCTCATCTACTTATATCATGCCAAAGAGCCCCTTTTATAACATCGAACACAGAGACTGTTCATAAAAGTCAAGTTTCTATCAACCTGAATTTCCAGCCAGCCAAGGGAAAGACCCGTACACTGATTATTTCTGCTTTTGTGTAAAGGTACTCCAAATTTTCACCTATAGCTTATCATCATGCCTCACATTTAGAATTAATACCTTGTTCTGGTTACTTGTTGGTATATATACCCAGAAAATCTTTCAAATTGTAATAGAAAATCTAGAACCAATGAAAGTAACATTAATTTAACTACAAGAAAGTTAAGAGAGTGCTTGCTTTGGAAGCACATATACTAAAATTGTGACGATACAGAGAAGATTAGCATGGCCCCTGCTCAGGGATGATGTACAAATTCAGGAAGCATTCCATATTTAAAAAAAAAAGAAAGAAAGTTAAGAGAAAGTTAATATAAATAGTCAATGAAGAATCTTCTGATGGTTTCACATGAGCAACATGGTGGTTACAACATTCACTCATGTTATCAAGTCCCCACCCCCACACCCCATTGTAGTCACTGTCCATCAGCATAGTAAGATGCTATAGAGTCACTACTTGTCTTCTCTGTGTTGTACATCCCTCCCCGTAACCCAACTACATTATGTGTGCTAATCATAATGCCCCTTAATCCCGTTCTCCCTCCCTCTCCACCCACCATCACTCACCCCTCCCATTTGGTAAACACTAGTCCTTTCTTGGAGTCTGTGACTCTGCTGCTGTTTTGTTCCTTCAGTTTTGCTTTGTTGATATACTCCACAAGTGACTGACATCATTTGGTACTTGTTTTTCTCCTCCTGGTTTATTTCACCAAGAGTAATATTGTCTAGCTCCATCCAAGTTGTTGCAAGTTGTAGGATTTGTTTTCTTCTTATGGCTGAATAATATTCCATTGTGTATATGTACCACCTCTTCCTTATCCATTCATCTACTGATGGACACTTATGTTGCTTCTGTATCTGTCTATTGTAAATAGTGCTGTGATAAACATACAGGTGCATATGTCTTCTTGAATCTGTGATTTGTTTTCTTTGACTAAATCCTAGGAGTGGAATTATTGGGTCAAATGGTATTTCTATTTTTAGGTTTTTGAATGATCTCTACACTGCTTTCCACACTGGTTGAACTAATTTACATTCTCACCAATAGTGTAGGAAGTTCCTCTTTCTCCACACCCTCAGCAGCATTTGTGGTTCCTTGCCTTTTGGATGTTGGTCATCCTAACTGATGTGTGGTGATATCTCATTGTGGTTTTAATTTGCATTTATCTGAGAATTAGTGATGTGGAGCATCTCCCACTTTGTTTCTCCCTTTGACCAATTTTGATTTCAAAGGTAATTTGTCCCAAGCTGGGAAATTATTTTCCCGCCACAGTTACATATGGCTGTAGTCAGCAGAACCTCTGAACCCAAAATATGTCTTCATGGGTGCCACCTTTGGTCAGGCTGCCCCTAAAGATGGTGCAGAGATACCCAGAAAACACCCAATGGGTAGTTGGGAGGTCCCAGTGGCTGCAGTGGTGGAGACTGTGGCTTCACCCAGGAGCCCCCTATCCATGGGAATCCAAATAGGGGAGCCTCTAGTTGGCAATTGGTTTGAGGTAAAGCACCTTCTAGATGGGTGAGGCCTTTCCCATAATTGGGGAAGGGTGGAGACACCAGAAGCTGTGGAATTAGCCTTCTGTGAGACACAAGATTGCTTAGAGGCCGTGAGTGGCTGTGTAGCAGCCAGGATTGTCAGATGTTTGTTTCTTGAGACAGTGGATAGGGTTATTAAGGAGAGAGACACACTTTAGCAGGAGAGAGACACACATTCACAGGAGAGGGACACACTTTGGCATCACTTGGGGGAGGTGGGTGATGACCTATGGGAAAACAGGTCAGGCTCCTGGAGGATACCTTAGCAATGATGGAGGAGACAGCAGGAGAATCCTAGTTGCAGGAGGCCATGGGGGTTGGGGAGGAATGAGCCGTGCCTTCAGCCACAGAAATAGGAGAGGAAATGTCAGGGGAGGATGGAAGGTGGGGCTGAGGGATGAACCACCCTTGTGAGACCACCGCCCGAGGCACCAGACTCTCCCATATTAAAGGCACACCTGGTTGCAATTAAGAAAATTAAAACACAACAACCTCGGGCCCTGCAGAGGGAGGAGCCACTCCCTCCCCAGGTTGTGGAGCAATCCATGCTCTGCACTTATACCAGGATGAGCTGGTGGACACAAGCATCCCATTTTAGCAGAAGTTGTTAGAACTTCTGCCTGCATGGATTTTGCATCTCTGGTATACGAGGGTGGAAAACATTGTTCTGTTGGGTTCTGGAATGGGGAGACTGGCTTCCCTGGTGACTCACCCTTCCCTCCAGCAGTGGTTGCAAAGTGCTCACCACACCTCAGAGAACCAGGTGCTTCTGGATTGGCTGACAGCAGCCCTCAGGGCAGTTTGGCCTAACCAAGGTGATTTACCATACTTACCCACTAGCTGGAAAATGTATGTAGAGCCCCAGCAGGTTTTATAAGAATTGGACATGAAAAATATCATCTATAATATGGACTTCCAGGGCCCTGATGAGGAGTTGTTCACCATAGGAATGTGAAATCTAGTGCTCCATGCAGCTCCCCATCTCTCCTTGGGTCCTAGTGACTATTCCTGTCCCCCACATAGGGAAACCCATAAGTGAGGCTACTAGTACTTTAGCAGATCCGGGGGAGGTTGAAACAATAAGAGCACTGAAGAAAGTATGGGCTATGACTGAAAGGAGAGGTGCAAAGGGCCCTGTGAGTGTCTTGAGGACCCAGATGTGAGTTGATTTGATAAAGACTGGGGTAGTGAAAGAAAAACTTGATGGGCACCCCAATAGGATCTTGTTAAAGCTGTGGCACCAATTAAAGCAGCAGTTCTAGCCATTGAAGTACAGGACATGGAAACTGGAGGCAAAGCACCATCTCCATCCTGTGTCCCTGCAAGACTTCCTGTGGGACAGTACACAGGCAACCCTTGGACACTCACCCCAATAGGAGGACTATTGGACATTGTGGTTTGACTGAGGTTGGGGTCAAGGCCACATTTAGAATTAGCAATTTATTGGTCCTCCATGAATATACAATGTGTCCTGACATTGGTGGACACAGGAGCTGAATATAATCTCATTTATGGCAACCCTGAGTATTTTCCTAGGATGTTTGCTGTGATAGACAGTTATGGGGGTAAGGCACTTAAAGTGATAAAAGTCCAAATCTCACTGGGAATAGGGTGATTAGGCCCAAATGATTATATTGTGTATATTTTTCCCATCCTTGAATATATTTTTGGCATAGATATACTGGAGGGCCTGTGGTTACAGACCACTGCGGGTGAGTTCAGACTGAAGGTACATGTGGTAAAGGCAGTTCTGAGGGGACATACTAAGCACCTACCTGTAGCTGTGCCTGTAACTCTGTCCTTCCACAGGGATACCTAGGCAGTACCTCAGTGCATAACAAATACTAGCAGTATAAATTGTCTGGGGGGCACAAGGAACCTGGAGAAACTACAGGAGTTGGAAAAGGTGGGCATCATAAAGCCCACTCATAGACCTTTTAATTCCCTGGTGTGACCAGTGAAAAAACCAGACAGCTCCTGGCTTATGACCATGGATTAAAGGAAATGATTAAATAACACCCCTTTTGCAAACTGCTCTCCCCTCTATAGCAGCCATTATGGACACCCTCAGTCATGAACTCGAGATGTTTCATTATCTGTGGACCTTGCTAATGCTTTCTTCTCTATTGACATAGCACAGGAAAGTCAGGAACAGTTTGCCTTCATGTGGGAAGGCCAGCTGGGGACATTCACTGTCCTTCCACAGGGATACCTAGGCAGTCCCACCATTTGTCAGACTTGTAGCCCAGGACTTGGCCACGTGGAAGAAACCACAAATGGTGCGGCTATATCACTGCATTGAAAATAGTATGCTCATGTCTGATTCTCTTACAGATTTAGAAGAGGCAGTTCCTAGACTGCTGCAACATCCATAGGATAAAGGATTAGTTGTGAACAGTACCAAGGTTTGGGTACCTGGTTTGTCTGTAAAGTTCTTAGGGGTTGTCTGGTCCAGTGAAACTAAAGTTATCCAAGAAGCAGTCATAGACAGAGTCCAGGCTTTCCTTACCCCTATCACTGTGGCAGTATTACAAGAGTTTTTGGGTCTTTTGGGCTACCGGAGAGTGTTTATCACACACATGGAATAAATCCTGAAACCTTTATATCAGTTGGTACATTTGGGCATCATGTGTGACTGGGATGAAATATGTGCAGCTGCTTTTACTGCCCTGTGAACTAGATGTTCATGTAACTGAAGATGGTTATGAATAGGGTCTTTGGCAGTGGCTTTCACATACATGCAAACCTATTGGATTCTGATGACAACTATGGAATGGAGCACCTTGACAAAGAAGCAACTACCATGCCTTGCTTGCTATGGAGCCCATCACCAGAACAGCTCTGACCAAGGTAATAAGCACCTATCCCATTGTGTGGTGGTTGTGAGCCTAGACCCAAAGGCCACAGAGTGACATGGCACAGATGCATACACTGGCCAAATGGGGTGCATACTTCCAGTAGTGTGGTGCCCTCTTTTCTATCCCCTTAAGTGGAGAACTCCAGTGCTTATTGGAGCCAGGGACATATACCAATGAAAGTAGGAAGAACTTGCTTTTGAGCCATTAGTAGCCAAGAGTCCTTCTCAGGATGGAAAAGCCCCTACACCTGAAGATGCTTGGCATACAGATGGCTCCAGTCATGGGAAGCACCCAAAGTGAAAGGCTGTGGCTTTCCATCCTAAGACTGACACAGTATAGATGGATGGCACAGAAGGGAAGAACAGTCAGTGGGCTGAGTTGTGGGCAGTATGGCTTGTGATCACGCAGGAGCCCTCCCCTATAGTTGTCTGCACTGACAGCTGGGCTGTCTGTCAGGGCTTTACCCTGTGGCTACCTACACGGTACCATGACAACTGGATGGTTGGTCATCAGCCCCTTTGGGGGCAAGAGTTGTGGGAAGACCTATGGGCCTCTGTTCAGACTAAGACTCTTACTGTATATCATGTGACTGGCCATTTGCCTTTGACATCCCCAGGGAATGATGAAGCAGATACATTGGTTCAGGTGCATTGGCTAGAAGGAAGGCCTGCCTCTGATGTGGCGCAATGGTTATGCCAGCTTTTGTTGCACATAGGGCAAAAGACAATGTGGGCTGTAGCTGATTGGTGGGACTTGCCACTGAACTTTGAAGAAGTCAGCGGAGCCCGGAAGGAGTGCCTTGTGTGCTTTCAGAGTGAGTCCTGCAGCAACATGGGACAATAGTAAGGGGGACAATACCCTTTGTCCAGTGGCATATAGACTCTAT